ACAAGGGATTACACAAAAATATATTTGTAAAATATTTCCTTCTGAATAAAATGAAAGTTGTTACCGGTACTTATTAAACACAATGCCAAGCAACAAAAATATATTTGTACAATATTTCCTTCTGAATGAAATGTAAAATAAAGTTGTTCCCGGTACTTATTAAACACAATGCCAAGCTGGTATACAGGATGATTCAAAAGATTAGGGCCAAACTGAAGGAGCGTATGGAGGGACTCAGAGAGTACAACTTTCGAATAGGAATCCATGTCCTCCGAAGTTATCCTGAGTCAGTCCAGGCCATTGAAGGTAGGGAAGTCTGATAACACACCGCTGAAATAATTTGGTTTGTAAGATTGCTAATGTAATCCTTGTACATTAATAAAAAACAAAATTAAGCTAGTAGGAGAATAGCAAAGTACGTTTAAGCAAGATATCTCGTGTGTAGCATAAAAACTGTTGCTTCAAGTTTCCATAAAAACCGTCATGACTTGTTGAGATCTCACATTCAACCCTTACTTTTCTTTACCCTACACCTGTTGCCCTGAAGGAATGTGATAAGTTCGCCTCCATTCTTGCAAAGAATAAGTTTGTTCTACCGTAAAGCCACCAAATCAAATTTATTTCAGGAACAGATACTTGGATAACCCTACTAATTCCTAGCTTCGGGTCATGAAAATGCTTGTAGCAAGCTGTAGGGAGGAAGACATACAGAGGAGTAAAGAATATTATATATATTTATATAATGCCAGAGATACCATAAGAGAACCAACCGCATGTTGAGCAGTAGAACTGAATTCAGGTCCTTTGTTTGCTTGGGTTTACTCCTGAAAACTGATATGTGCATCTGTACGGACTTATTCCCTTAAGCGATTGTCATTGTGTTACTGTGTTTATTTTAGCCCTCATTGATAAACTGATCTATAGAATAAGACGCAATGTGATCGTGCCCTAAGGTTGTTTGTTCAACATACCTTGAAAGGTGAAGGGTAGACAGCACACAAAAATAACTGAGACCGCAAAATTTTCCAGTGGGCAAACGTAAATGTTGCTGCCAATTGTGGTCTTCTGGCTTCAGACACAATGTGGTCTTATGTGGGTTGTTATTGAGATTTCAGAGGAACGAATTCGCTTCCATCTTTGCACAGAAGCCCACGAAAGCCGTAAGGACCTCTAATATTAGGTAAGCGTTTGAGAAAAGAAACAAACAACAGCTATACAGACTATTTTCCACATGTACCAGTTTGTGGCAAATTAATTATTTATTTGGCCACGTACATACTCTAGTTCTTCTTATATATTACAGTATTGGATCTTTAACATTTTAACATAATTTAATTTATGCCCAATCATACTCTACCCCATTTACTACCCGATAACATCAATTTGGTTGTAAGATCTTTAAAATTCCCTTATGTTAATTCCAATCGATATTTTTATCTCTGATTATATGATAACTAACTAAAGAAACAAACAAGCAGATAAACTATCAAGTTACTAAATAAACTTGCCTTTTTATATGATCCTCAGGAAATGTCATCCTCAAAATGTATATTCCTAAAATCTATAATAATCTTATATATATTATTTCTCGTATCATTTTTGGTGTTATAATTGCCTTTTTTCCGAAAAGTTTTCTTAACAAAAAATTCTATCTCGCACTTGAAATACATTACGTGTCTAAAATGTCCACATCGTGAACAGAATTTATTACTGTTACGATATGGTGAGCTTATGTCTTTGAGAACTGACTGGGAAAACCAAAGGACTCGGAGAGAAATCTGTCCTAGTGTCAATTTGTTCACCACATATGCCACATGGACTGGCCTGGGAGCGAATCCCGGCATTCGCTGTGAGAAGACGACTTATCAACTGCAGAGACTTGCCACTTTTCCTGTTACATTGATATGACATCATATATATATATGATTTATGATACGATACGATGCGATATATATATTACATGATATGTTTATTTAGACTGTCATATACAAGCTTTAAAGGGTCGGGAATAAATCTTCGTCTTTTATTTCCGCCCTCTGCACTCTCTCTGTTTGTACTTATTCCTCAATATAACTTCTCTTGAAAGATGCTTTGTCTGGGCAATAGTCCATCATTAACTTCTTCACATGTCACCTTAACAAATATATGTTTCATTACAATGTCCTTAGCAGTTTCCATCAAAAACCGTACATTCTTACAATACATTAAGAAAAAGAATAATAAGGAATAAAAACGAGTATTTTTAAGACGTTTGTTGTTTCATCTACGGGGAAATCCTCCATATTGGGATATTCCACTCCGGATGTAAGGTATATTACAGAACGTTTCACGACCACAAAATATTCATTTTATTTTTTTTATTTTCGACAGTACCTAGTTTCATCCGTAAACGCATTATAGAAACTCGTGTTTCTTACATTGCGGTATCTAAAAATCGTTTCATCTTTTGTGCCAGTTTCTTCTCCCTCTGGTTTCTGGGTTTGACGTCATGTTGTCTTGTATTCTTTCTTTTTCTCCCACTTCCAAGACTTTGATTCCCTAATCCCTTAGCTGCAACTAACTCCAAAGTGTGTTGCTCATTCTGGCGGTTTAAAACTGAGACGGCTTAATTTTTAAAACCTTGTGCCAGACATTAACAACGCTCCTCCAAACACGGACTTATTTACTCCCTCATAATGCCGTTGCTTGTGATGCCTCGGATACAGAAAACGTCTGAATCTAAGTTAAGTTTTGTTACCACAATACCGATTACTGCAGGGAAATATAAACAATGCAGAACAAAACACTAAAGTCACAGACAAATAAAAAAGATTTGTTAGAATTTGCGGTTAGGTGTTTTCTGAAAAGAACCTGAAAATATATCGTTAGTTGTGCAAATGTAAAGTTTAAAATGACATTTAAGTTGTTCTATTCACTGTTATTATAATTTAAAGTCTTTTATCTTCCTTCTTCTACCTAAAAATCTAATTTTTAAAATATATAAAACGGTAAATAATTTTTTCTGTGCTAGGGCGCAAAATTACCTTTCATCCTAAGGGTAGGACACAAACTGAAGGGTATTTGAGGAGAGAGTGTTGAGGATGGGAATAATATTTTGTTCTGCGACAGTAAAAAAAAGAAAACGATACAGAAGCATATTTAATTAGTGGTTTAAAAATTCTTCCTTAAAAATAACCGCGATGTTAAAACTAAGGACGATATAGGAGGGGCAAGCAGAACGAGGAAAAATTAATTTTGATCGGAAAATCTGAAAGAGAGAGACCGTTTGGGAAATCTCAGCGTTAACGGAAGAATAATAGCAAATTAAACTTAAATATTGAGCAAGAATGTTAAAGAGTATGACTGGCTCAATAAAAGGGAATAAACGATGCTCTTGTGAACACGGCAATGAACATTCGGGTTCCATAAAAGGCAATAAATGTTTCGAGTGTCCTTAGAAGACTATGTTCCATGTAGTCAGTTCTTTATGGCAGACGTATTCTAACTAAATGTAACGTGTTTTGTAATGACACAATTAACCAATAAATTTTAACGAAAGTATATAAATATCCAATTGTAATAAGCGTGACTAATATTATGCTTAATATACTAATACATGTTTCTAGGTCAGGTTTTAACACCAAATTATTCTTAAAGGGGAATTTCACAGATTATAAACTTAATTTTCAAGAGTAGAAATTTAATAGATTTTTTTAATACTATCATATAAATGGTTTGTTAGTTACTTAATTGGTCGGCAGTATACATAATTCAGTCATTGGTTAACTAGACAGCTAGTTCTTTAGCTAGTTACTTATTTGGTTGGTTAGTTAGATGACCTAGGAGCTTGCTTGTTTAGTCACATAGTTGGCTAGTTATTTGGTAACATATTCCGTTAGTTACCTAGGTAGTTAAATTTTTTTATTACTCACAATGGATTATGAGGAAGGTACCTCAGCCGATTTAATTATACTACAGAACGAGACCCACTTAATGGAGAATTTTAAACTTGAGTTAAATTAAAGCTAAAATTATTTCAATTTTGATTATTGTTATTTTTTGTAAAAAGTTATTCCTTAATCCTTAAATTTTGTTATATCTTCTTCTCGTACCGCTAGATAATATTTCCAGTCATCATCACAGAGTGAGTTTAAGCTATTCTTGGAAGAGACAGGCGAACATATTTAAAACGTTGAAAGCAGGCCCGTACAGGTGTACTCATTTTCAGCCGTCTCCTGTGTCAGATCTATGAGACCATTTAAGTATAATGCATAAAGCAATCGATGTGCAGAGTCGTTTTTTTGCTAGGTAACAATACAGAACATTAAAATCCCTGTAAAACGATTTCTTTGATATCTTCAAAACATGTGGTACTAATGTGGAAGAGAAAAGTTATGAGCAGCCACAAACTGAATGTAATGAACGAAGGATCAATATAATATTTATTTTTTAAAGTGCTCTAACTTTCCAGGGTTCGATTATTATTAACCTTGCTTACACTGTCTGTTAAAAGCGATCGTAGGAAACTGACTTTTGTGCTCTCGTAGTTCCAAAAGGATTACACAGATGTAAAATACGCAACAAACAGAGAATCTCTTTTTTTTCTTTAGAGCTTTATTTAAGAAGCCGGTCAAAGGACTGGTACTTTAGCCAGTTTAGAGGCATATAATTACTGCGCAACATTTATTTATTTTTATTAAAAGGAGTGAAATTTTCGAAAAGTTTGTAATTTAGTTTGTCAGGAATCTTCTTTTTCTAGGTACGTGGACGTTGAAATATAAGCCTACTTAATTTCACGGAGATCTAGAACTTTATTTAGGTTGTCATGGGTTCAGACAATTACCCGCTTCTAAATTGCACATAGTAGACTTGTACTTCCTGGTTACAGAAAAGGATGACTTTGCGGAAATGGTGAGGCAACTACTACTTCTTAGGATACCAATAGCTTACAACTAAGGAGAATAAATAAATTTAGAGATGTCCCTTCTCACTTTTTATGGCATTTAAATACACGTCGCTTCTTAATTTAAGAAATTATTTTTTACGCTAAAACCAGCCAAGAGCCTAGTCAAAGATAGAATACAGGGTTATTATGGGCTATCGCAAACCTCAGCCGCCGGTGAAAATTGTGTAGCAAAGGTGGCATGATGTTTAGCAGTATATAAAAAAGAGAACTCGTAGACAAGCCACTTCGTAAGCCGTGAATCATACTTGGAGTCACCCAGTATTAAATGTTTCGTAATTAAAATATAAAATTCGAGGGCTCAAACAGTAGACATAATTTTTAAGAAACGTCATTATCGGTAAAACTGAAGACAACTTATGATGCCGTGCGGTCTAGCAGATAAATATCAAAGCTTCGGACCGAACCAGTGACCATCTGAATGCACTACCAGATCAGTACTCTAACCAATGAATATATCTCAAGTATTGGACACGATTTGTAAACTTTCATGTGGTAGGGCTCAGACACTGGCTAAACTTTACCACCTTCACTCAAATCTTGGACGCCATGCCGAAGTTGACCCCGGTCCTACGGTCCTCTGTGACGCGCTGAACAGTGATATATCGTTGGGAATGAAGAGGTGGGACCTGGAGTTGTCTCCTGAGAATGAGACATCATTGACACAATGCCCATCAAATTCTCTCTCACAAGAGAGATGCGAACCCTGTGCATTGATTGACGAAGAGACCGCATTGTGTTGCAGATTAAAGTCCGAGCCACACGGAGATGTAACAAGATAATGCTATAGGTTAAAGGTGTCGTTAGGCGCAATCTGTCATGCCCAATGGACATGCTTCTATCCTGACTGCCAGGATATGTTTGCCCTGAAAGACAGTTATATGACGCAGGAAGTTTCATTATGTGTCAGAAATGAATATTGATAACGAAACTAGAGAAAACACGAGCCCGAAACATAATACTGTTGTGGTGTGTTTATCAGAAAATTGTAATCTATAAGAAGTCGAACTCGCCCGTTGTTTCAGAATATCGCAGCCCGTTTCAGACGATCGTTAAACAACTGAAGGACGATGTTCTTGTAAAGAGGCCTAATATAAAAAAAAACTCAGTTCCTACCTCAAAACAAACACAACGCGTCTCTGTTACAAATATAAAACTGAAAGAGTTGTTTTCAAAAATAACAGCTGCTTGTTCTGAAAATCATGTGAAACTTTCAGATACATACCGCATAAAAAAATTACAGGCACTGAATGATAAAATTGGTTTAAATATAACTTACCGCAATACTGCAGCAACGCCATTTCGGCTCTGAAGATGAAGACAGTATATTCTCCGAAACGTTGGCATCTACAGACGGCTTTAGATGGCACCGAAACCTATAACAAGAACAGCATCATCATAACTTATCATTGTTTTTTTAAAGCGTTAACGAAAGTATAGCACAAACGTTGTTTCTTCCGATTTCTTTCTGCTAACGATAGAAAAAGACAAGAGATTAGTACAACTCTTTTATTCCTAGTGAAATAAAATACAGACGTAATTAAACACAGAAAATAGGACAAATACAAATAAAATGGCACATGCCAGTATCTTCATTGTAGGATTAGAGGTAAACTAATTCTGGTGATAATAGTGGATATACCAGAAAGTTTTAACACATCTACAAAGGCATAATCCTGAAACAATTCCAGCCATCTCCTTAATGTTATCCTCCTCCCATCTCGTTCTTCCTTTTCCGCGGGTGTTATTCAAAATTGAAATGTATGTAATTTCAAACATGTCCCAAATACAAGAACTAAAATTTTCAAGAAAGAAAACTTCAAATTCATCCTCGGCATTTGAGAGGCATTCAACAAATTTTTGTTGAATTATTTGTTTCTGTAAGTTTGTTCTGTGACTGTGTAGGGGTATAAGAAGAGGGTAGATTTAGGATTTTTTTAAACAATTGAGTATTTCCTGAATAAAACGTTTTTAATGTAATAATCCGTGGCACGTTTAATTCAAGTTTTTTTTTTAAAGTTTATAATGACGTTTCATCCCCACTTAATGGTACCTGCACCTTGTCGTGGTGGTGGGGCTTGAGTGCCTCAGTGACCCCAAGAGCTATGCTGGCGGTAGCATAGCTACTGGTAGGGCCTCCCTAGCCAGATTGGTCGAGGGGGACAGGTCAGACTAAGACAGGTACCCTGGTCCTCCAGGATGGGGGTTGGTCACAAGGCTAACAACCTTGCACCGTAAAAAGGAAGATGTTTCGAAATCTCAACCTCGGACAGACGGACCTAACAGAAGGATCGAGTGGAAGAGGAGAATTAAGGAGGCCATGGACCAAATACAAGAAGAAGAAGAAGAAGATAATGATGTTTCAAAATTTTATTACGAAAAGTACCACATCTTTCCTACCGGCAGCGCCAAGAGACGGTTGTTGGTGAGTTCAAGAATATCCAAAGTCCTAAACTTAGGATTCTGTTAAAGTCACTAGAATCTGTTCTTTTTAACAGGAACTTGGAAAGTTTTTTCAATTATCGCTAGAATTATATCAGTTCATAGTAGCCTCCTAGTTTTCACTATCCTAGAAACTGGTTCAGATAGGTGACCTGTATAAACCAAAATATTTTCTCTTTGATTAATATCGTAAACTGTTGACATTCTCTCTTAGGCTAAGATATTTTCATGATGACATCATCAAACTTACAGATAAATAATTATTTTTCTTAAATCATACCTACAGAAAACATAGCCTATCTGAAAACTCTTACCTCATCTCACGCGCAAAGAAGTAACGAGAAGCAACGCCCTTAAAATACAAACTCAGCTGTCAATGACGTGTTGTATAATCAAGAAAATGAAATATGACGCTATCAGTTCTCAACGTTATGACTTTTGCATATGAATTGGTCCACTAGGAAATCCTCTCGAGAAATCTAGGGACTCTTGTGACGACTCCCACAGGAGGGAACACCCTCGTGGCAGCAATAAGCCAATTGAAGATATAGTTCCAGACAGCGAGTGTGTACCATCTCCCTCTCTACATTATAACTTTAAACCATGATTAAGTTGATACTGTTCATTGTCAGAAGTACTATACTGGACACACACGAATCATGGCTACGTGGACTTACTAAAATACTAAGGTAACCTTTTTACTGTAGTGTGGACAGACTGTTCAATTGATTTTATTTTCTATACCAGAAATTCAGGTAGTGATAGAACCCACACTCTCTGCATCTTACCATTGTGTTTTAACAACTCTAGAGTCTCGGGTTTGATCCTGACCTGACAAAAAATATAAAAAAATACAGAAATAAAATTATTACGCTTAGTATAAATGAATCGTGTTAGCAAAAATTAATCAAATGAAAACAAAAGTAATTTACCTCAAGCAATGGACGACAGTATACTACATAAAAGTAGGGGAGGGGGGTTAAAGTGAGACTTTAGAAAATAATTTTATAACCGTTAATTAAAAAGAATAATTTCAACACTTAACAAGTGCAGGTTAATTCAATTTGCTATTAACCACTGTGGTAATTAAATATAAACACGTAAGCATATAGGCCTATACATTAGAGAATTCTTTTGAAGGGAACCCCTTGGAAACTAGCTATTCATAAAATAGAGAATATGGGAGATAATATTAAAATTGATAATACGGAACTGCGATGTGTTGATATAAACTGAATTGTACCGGTTCAACATTCGGTCTAGTGATAGACTTTTGTTAATAATGTAGTGAACATTCGGGTTTTGACCTGTTAAGAAATTAATATCTTTTGAAGGAGGACTCTGCTTCTAGTAGTCAACAAGTTAAAGGAAACATGGATCGAGTAGTGAATTAAATTAAAATTAACTCTTTTTAATTCCGCATAAAGTAAAACTCCAACTTCTCAAAGACACTCGCAGGCTCTTGGCAACAAATTTTAGGATTCCATAAAAGGCGGAGAATTTCGTGGCTAGCAGAGCACCTGTCAGCTTCTCAAAAAGGACTCAATAGTGTGGACGTAATTTATTTCAGATACAAACCCCTCTCCCCCTCCACATTCAGAAGTGGCAGTTTTCACACCCAGACTCGTACAACTTTCTAAAGTGGAGGGGGTCGATGATATGAACCTTGAATCATCCCCAACTACACCAACAAGATAAAAAAATGTAAATTAAGCTTTATCTCTGCTGCAAGTTACGACTCCGATGTATTAGTTTTATTGCAAGACTGGGGGGCAATGAAGATCAGATCAATGCAAAACAAACTTTCATCGAAACAGCAACTCAGTTTATGGTCATCTGAAAGTACGAATTTTCATTCGCACGTTGTCGCATTCTGTTCTTGATATGCACAGGCCTAATATTCAGTGAGTAAACAAATACAACAAAGTGTAGCTGAAGGTATGAAGTGACGTACCGGTAAGTTTTCAAAATTCTTGTTTCTGGAGAAATGGAACGAGGCGAGGGTGTTGACATTACGAACTTAATGATAATGATGCTGACGAAAATTCTGATTACTTTGATAATAATGTGGATAATTTTAATTGTAATAAATGTAATGGAAAGCTAATGGTTGCAGTACTAATGAAAATGTTAATATAAAGACGACTAAATAAATAACTCCATGGAGCAGAGTCCTTTAGAAACTAATTCTACGCTCAAGAAATAATTTCCGTCTTTATAGAACAGGAAGATTCATTGTCGTATTTCTTACATCAGCCATAGGTCCTTATTCTCAGCCAGATAAATCCAATCCATACCCTCCAACCATATTATCCTAATAACCATTTCAATACGATCCTTCCATCTATGCCTAGGTATTCTGATTGGGGATTTCCGATCAGGTTTTCCAAACATTTCTCCACCATGCGTGGAACATGCCTCATTCATTTTCTATTTCATAACCCCAATAATATAAAGCTAATTATAGAAATTATAATGACGTGATAAAAAAGTTGACATTAGAGACTTAGGATGTAATTTCTTCGTCTTTCTCATTCTCTGTGGGTAAATACTTTTATGTTACTTTATATTACACTGTTTCGTCTCTTCCTTCTCTAATCAAAAGTATTAATCACAGCGATATTCTCGGTAATCGCCATAAAATAAACACCTAATTTATTTTACACTGGTTACAATTCTACAACACAGAGGACCATTGCGAGAATTCCATTCTTGTTTAAAACACTGTTAATATCAACGGTTACTGGCGAACGAATCATTTCTGGAGCAGTTTAAAAATAATTAACACAAGTAAGTAATGTAGTAGAATTAGAAATGAAAGCCTGTATCGTTTTCACATAAATCCCTGTGGTACGAAATCCACGGAGATAGGAGGGGTGTAAGTCATGGGAAAAAAGAGGGATGGTCTGATGTCCACCATAACACCTCAACTGAGAAGAGGTAACGAGATTATCAACTTTGTTACTACGAGATTCCATTAACCGATCTCGCCTTATGCCTCCAGAATCGCTGTGGACGCCAGGGTCTGCCTAAAAGCGTGAAAAGCGAATGTAATGGGGAAAAAACTCAAGATAAACTCAGCGAGGGGTAAAGGAACAGTCTGTTGTAATGAGAGTAATGAGATATCTAGCTTAACCTGTAACAAACACGTGTTATTGCAGTTATTACAATAGACGTTTCATAAAGGCGAAGGAAGAAGTCTACGGAAAAATCTTACCAGAAGAAGAGATAGGATGGTGGGGCACATTTTGAGGCACCCAGGATTGGTTAATTTGGTAAGAAACTAATTCTACGCTCAAGAAATAATTTCCGTCTTTATAGAACAGGAAGATTCATTGTCGTATTTCTTACATCAGCCATAGGTCCTTATTCTCAGCCAGATAAATCCAATCCATACCCTCCAACCATATTATCCTAATAACCATTTCAATACGATCCTTCCATCTATGCCTAGGTATTCTGATTGGGGATTTCCGATCAGGTTTTCCAAACATTTCTCCACCATGCGTGGAACATGCCTCATTCATTTTCTATTTCATAACCCCAATAATATAAAGCTAATTATAGAAATTATAATGACGTGATAAAAAAGTTGACATTAGAGACTTAGGATGTAATTTCTTCGTCTTTCTCATTCTCTGTGGGTAAATACTTTTATGTTACTTTATATTACACTGTTTCGTCTCTTCCTTCTCTAATCAAAAGTATTAATCACAGCGATATTCTCGGTAATCGCCATAAAATAAACACCTAATTTATTTTACACTGGTTACAATTCTACAACACAGAGGACCATTGCGAGAATTCCATTCTTGTTTAAAACACTGTTAATATCAACGGTTACTGGCGAACGAATCATTTCTGGAGCAGTTTAAAAATAATTAACACAAGTAAGTAATGTAGTAGAATTAGAAATGAAAGCCTGTATCGTTTT